TTTCCCTCTCTTCCAGACAGGACTCCTGTGACTCGTCACTGTTGTTCTGTGTTAGTGCCAGGTGCTTTTCCATCACTCAAGAACATCAGTAAAGCCAGGGCACCTGGGTGGCTCAGTTGGTTAAGCGACTGCCTTCGGCTCAGGTCATGACCCTGGAGTCCCGGGATTGAGTCCCGCATCGGGCTCCTTGCTCAGCGAGGAGTCTGCTTCTCCCTCTGACCTTACCCCCTCTCATGTACTCTCTCTCATTCTCGCTCTCTCAAATAAATAAATAAATCTTTAAAAAAAAAAAAAAGAAGGGGCGCCTGGGTGGCTCAGTTGGTTAAGCGACTGCCTTCGGCTCAGGTCATGATCCTGGAGTCCCGGGATCGAGTCCCGCATCCGCCTCCCTGCTCGGTGGGGAGTCTGCTTCTCCCTCTGACCCTCCCCCCTCTCATGCTCTCTCTCTCTCTCAAATAAATAAATAAAATCTTAAAAATAAATAAATAAATAAAATAAAATGCAATCATCCCCACGAATGCAGTCACAGGATTTTCAGACAGACTCCCTTGCAGCCCCTTTTGTTCGGCCCTCAATCTGGAATACTGAGGGCTGGTTTCCTGGCCAGTCAGCGTCCTGCACAGACCATTCAACTCACGGCAGCCTGTGGCCACAACACCATTTGCACACCGCGGCTCTGTTAACTCAATTTGGTCTTAAAAACTGTGAGGGGAAAATTACAGAAGAGAATTTTTATCTGGGCTGAGAGCGTGTAGTAAGTCAACACAATTCTCGCCCATGTGACTCAGAGTAAAGTCATGTAATTTATTTTAGATGAATCCAAATAGAGCTAATAAATTCGCCCAGCAGATGCCCTATTAAAATTAAGAAAGCTCTTAAGGTTTTCCACAAATACTGCAGGGTTGGGGAAGAGGAGGATTATAACTTTAGAGTAATGGTGGATTTTATAAGGCCATTTCTCTTTAGGCTAAGAAGAGTGGAAAGTTGAGACAATAAGATGGGAAATTCAGGCCCAAGGAGCTGACTTTTGAAGTAAATGTTTTTGTTTAGAATTAACCTCATGTTGACAGTCTCCCCACTATCTAATTGTCTGGGTATCTGCTGAAGTCTAAGTCCAATTTAGCCTATGTAAGCACGGTCATGGAGAGGGAAACCAGCAAATGGCTACAGAAGCCTAGAAATACGCTGTATGTGGGTAGCGCTGCTCAAAGTCTTAAAAATTCCTCAAACAACCTCTTTATTTGTTTTTTGGGGGTTTTTTTAATTTTATCATGTTATGTTAGTCACCATACAATACATCATTGGTTTTTGATGTGGTGATCCACGATCCATTGTTTTCGTATAACACCCAGTGCTAAATGCAGTACTTGCCCTCCTTAATACCCATCACCGGGCTAACCAATCCACCCTCCCTCCTCCCCTCTAAAACCCTGTTTTTTTCTCAGAGTCCATAGTCTCTCATGGTTCATCTCTCCCTCCAATTCCCCCTCCCCATTTTTCCCTTCCTTCTCCTAATGTCCTCCATGCTATTCCTTATGTTCCACAAATAAGTGAAACCATATGATAATTGACTTTCTCTGCTTGACTTATTTCACTTAGCATAATCTCCTCCAGTCCCATCCATGTTGATGTAAAAGTTGGGTATTCATCCTTTCTGATGGCTGAGTAATAGTCCATTGTATATATGGACCACATCTTCTTTATCCATTCTTCTGTTGAAGGGCATCTCGGCTCTTTCCACAGTTTGGCTATTGCAGACATTGCTGCTATGAACATTGGGGTGCATGGCCCTTCTTTTCACTACATCTGTGTCTTTGGGGTAAATACCCAGGACTGCAATTGCTGGGTCATATTTTTAAATTTTTGAGGAACCTCCACACTGTTTTCCAAAGTGGCTGTTCCAACTTGCATTCCCACCAACAGTGTACGAGGGTTCCCCTTTCTCCACAACCTCTCCAACATTTGTTGTTTCTTTCCCTGTCCATTTTTGCCATTCTAACTGGTGTAAGGTGGTATCTCAGTGTGGTTTTGATTTGGATTTCCCTGATGGCTAATGGTGATGAACATTTTTTCATGTGTCTGTTAGCCATTTGTATGTCTTCTTCAGAGAAGTGTCTTTTCATATCTTCTGCCCACTTTTTGACTTGATAATTTGTTTTTTGGGTGTTGAGCCTCAAACAACCTCTTTAATTGCAGTAGCCCAGCTAGCTCCAGAGTTTGAAATTCAGAGGCAAGTGCCTGTTTGTTTTTTGTTCTCTGAGGCTCGAGGCATGTCTGTATCACTGTGGTCTTAGCGGGGAGACCCAGCCCGCATTCTACAGGTTGGGAAATGACAATGTGATTGATTTGGGATCTCTCCACAAAGTAATCATTTCAACAAGAAAATACATTGTCTACGTATTTACAAGGGTTAGAGCCCAAAGTTGTGTAGGAAGGGAATAATACATCAAAGCCTCGGCTGAAGACAACTGTAAAGTGTTCGTGTGGACGGCCCAAGGTACTGCCAGAACGCTTCCTCCCATATGATGTACATGTTAACAACCTGATGATATGATGATAGAAAGACACATAAAACAGCTATTTTTCCTGGCACGGAGCCCTGCTGTAAACCTGGAGATATTTAAATACCCCATTGCAGCCACGGTCCTGGCTACATGTAAGGATTAAAGGAAGCCATTGGAGTGCAGAATAGGTTTCTTCTGCAAGCATCACCCTGCCTGCCAAGTTTTGGGGGTGGTGCATGGTGCATCCACCCCATGCAATCTTAAGATGGGAACCACGAAACTTGGGAGATACAATAAAATAGCAGGGCTCTGTCTCGTTGGCATGTAGGACGTTTGTACGAAGACGAATGCCAACTGGGGAAGGCCAGCGACTCATGTGGCATGTCGAGACAAATTAATCTTTAAAAGTATACATATATTTCCCAAGATTTCTAAAGGACTGAGAATCAGCGTTCTGAGTCTCCATTATTCTTCCATTACATGGGGCAAACTCTCTGAGGTAGTCTGCTTCTGTATTAGGCTATAATACGGTTCCTGAGCCCTTGGTAAATGTTGCCACTTCCTCTTGCCCCGCTTGCTTTCTCATCTAAAATGTAACAGCTGACTGGGATCTGGTTTATGTCTTACTTGCTCCTGTGACTACTTTCTCCTCTTTAGTGTTCTACTGAACAGATGCCATGAGAAACAAACAAGGGGACCTCAGGGCTTCTTCCCTTTGGGTTCAGAGTCTCCGGAATAGGAAGAACTGGCAAATGAATGACTGAGTCGACGATCGCTTTTAACCTGTCTATAAATACATGTTTATGTCTCTTGGTAATGGATTGCCCTTGTGAGCAAGTCATCATTTAGAGTTTAATTCTAATCTCCACACCAGAGATGGAGATACGGAATTGCTTGGGCTTTTCTCTCAAGCTCCCTCTTTTTCAAGATAAAGCAAATTAATTCATGTGTACTTTTCAACTGAAGGAATGATTAAGACCCAGCTGTGTCTGTGAAATTTTAAGTTGTGGTGCAACACTCGGGACTTGTTAATGCTTTTTTTGGCATGAAGAAGAGAGACATAACTATCTAATATTAAGTGTTCTAAAAAGCATAAGTTTGTTTGCCAAATTAACTTTCAAAGACACCTAAGTTACTAAGTTTGACTTTTCTACACACAAATCTTAAATGATTGATGGACTACTGTAAAATAGCTTTGTTCAACAAAGATCATCTTTGGCAGGCTACTTCAAAGGCTTTACCACTCTAGAAAGATGAAAAGATATCCTCATTTTACATTATTTCCCTTACAGATCAACACTTATTTGAAATATGCCTGAGAATTATGTGATATTTACTGTATTATGAGCCTGCCTTCACTGTATTCAAATAGCAGCCTCACATAGGATTACTTCTACTTCTAAGATTTAGGAGCATTTCCTACACATAAAGAGCATCTTGAAGAACATACAGCTGGGCAGAATAGTGTATCTGGCATTACTGTTCCACCAAGGTAGTATGTGACACTAAAATATACAGATAGAGAGTTTTTTTAATCAACAATACCATTTCAGGGGCGCTTGGGTGGCTCAGTCGTTAAGCGTCTGCCTTCGGCTCAGGTCATGATCTCAGGGTCCTGGGACTGAGTCCCGCATCGGGCTCCCTGCTCAGCGGGGAGCCTGTGTCTCCCTTTGCCCCTCCCCCCCCCATTTCTGCGTTCACGCTCTCTAATAAATAAATAAAGTCTTTATAAAAAATACCATTTCAGGATGTGGTTTCAGATTCTCCCTATAGTATTCTTCAGTATCTAAAAGGACCCATTTCTTTCTTTTTAAACATAGATTGTGTGATTTTATGTCTAAGGTCATTCTAGAATTCCATCTCTTTGGAATTATGTAAACCAAGGGTGAACATTTCAACTACGGGGTCAGGCAGGTAACAGAAATTAGCAAAGAGGGCACATTGGGGGGGTTGGCGCCTGAAGGGAACAGTCATTTAGGTCAATATGTCAGATATTCTGATTTTTATTAGAAACCTTTTTTTTTTTCTAATATTGGCAACCACTTCAAATTTTTGAAAGATCCGGAGCTAGACAAACAAAACACGTCTGAGGGATGGCATGCTGCCGTAAGCCTGCTGAGAAGAAAAGTATTTACATTAAAAAGAAAAAAAAATGCTTTCAGTCCATCCACACTTTTTGGAATGCTGTTTCACAACTGTGAAATAGCCACTTATGATGGCCTTAAAATGGCTAGGACAGAGGAACTAATAAAGCTCTGGGTCATGTGTTCGGGAGCAGCTTTGCAAAAGGGCTCAGATGCACCGGGAAGCAGGGTGCAGTGGGTAATGGATACAGGTTTCTTATGTAAAACACAATAATCCGTGAATTCACAATGGAAAAGATATGAAGCAGAGACCCCTTTTCTCTTAAATTTATCTTCAAGGCCATTTCATTTTATGGAAGTGAATAAAGCTGACTTGCAAAAAAAAAAAAAATCCTTCTTTGCTCTTTGGCAGGGTGAAGTAGAGAAATAAAGTCTCCCCGCTGAACTACTATGAGGTCAGAAGCCTTGCTGCTATATTTCACACTGCTACACTTTGCTGGGGCTGGTTTCCCAGAAGATTCTGAGCCGATCAGTATTTCGCATGGCAACTGTAAGTATCCACAATCACGTTGTCATTCTCTCCCTCTGTGGGCATCTCAGGCTGCATCAACCAGCTAAACACCCAACATTTTCTAAAATTTAATAAAATAGACCTGTTAGTAGACGACAGAGGGGTCTTGTCAAATTGGGGAGATGGCTGTTCTGTAACTCCGTTAAATATTGTTGTGGCAACACGTGTGTGTGAACATGCGTGTGAAGATCTGAAACGTTCCTCAAGTACCTCTGATGAAGTCTCAGGCCACTAAAAGGCCATCCTCAATCATGCCCAAAAACCAGCCATGGGAGAACATCTCTACCATCTGGGTATCGCCCGGAGTGCACATTCTCACGTGTGGTTAACGCATGGGCATTGTTACACAATGAGAATGGGAAAGAAGATGACTGTTTTGGAGTACTTAGGGACAAAAATTAACTTTTCTTTTAGACTTAGAAGTAAAAAGTCTGTTGGACTCTGAATTCACAGAGGACCTATTTTAACTATTTATAACTGTCTTTTGACCTCCGCTTCATTGTCAAAAGGGTAGAAAGCCACGTGATTAAGAGTTCAGTTGACTACTCAAGAGGGAAAGTCCTACCTGTGTGCGGGATCAAACAGCCCATGTACCACTTCTTTTCTTTCCCTCCGAAAGACAAAATGTTTTATCACAGTAAAGGTGAAAGGGAGCCCTTTTACCCAAATATCTATTTTCCCAGTAGCCATCCCAAAACAAACTGAATAAACCCTAAGGAAAGTATTTAGCATCTATAGGGGATACTAAGGAGATCCATCAATGTGTGGCTTTCTGCTGGACAGTCCCTGAAAAGGGAAATAATTTCACATGAAGGTGAGCTGGGAAGACCTGGCACAGCAGTGAGCAAACAAAAGTCAGGGCAGGCTCAAGGACCCAAGAACTGTGTAGTTCAAAATCACTAAAGTGGTGGTCCACCTGACTCAAGGTAACAAATCTTAATCCGCATTGATTAATCCCCATTTGGGACGGGTATTCTATCTCTGGTGCTCTGTAAAGAAGAGTCCCCAGGCCAAGTATGTGCTGCTGAAAATGAAATGTCAATGGACACTCCAATCCTTGACAGTAGAGGGACAAGAATTGTCTTAGCAAGCTCCTTGATAAATGGGCAAATGAAATCTCAGAGCGTGCAGGGGAAAGCACAAGATAATCCCATACCAAGCTTGACTGTGAGTCAAATATACCAAGGCTCCCTGATACCCACTGTGAGTAATGCTCAGATACTACAGGGGATTCAAGTGTAGGGGTCTGAGCAGGAATCTGTGAATGGGTTTCAAGTCATTATTTACAACTCACCCCACCCCCCAAAAAAACATTTTTAAATATGACTCATCCTTCTTTCCTTCTGAGTTTCTTTGGAGGACTGCCAGTGCTCTGGACAGTGTAGGTTTAAAGGCAGAGAGATTTTTGAAATGTAGGTATTTCTAAAGGTCAGATATTATTACAAATTGCCCGCTCTCAGCTAGAGAGAACTGTAGGAAAGCAGAAATATGTTCATTGACTCTCCAAGTCAGGGAAAATTCCAGATCACCCGACTGGCTACACTCCGTTTGACCCTGTCCTGTCAAAGCCCCAGCTTCTGTGAGATTAGCCAATTGCTTAACTCAAGAGTGAACTTCCCACAGTTCCTAGAATGCCAACCAACCTAGCGGGGCTGCCTTCAATAGGAGATTATTCCAACTGGACGCCTGTGGAGACTGTATTTTTCTTCTGGCTCCTGGACGAGGGTTCTCGCCTCCAGACCACATTGCCTTTGTGGTGACTGATGGGAAAGCTGCTTTGAAATAGTTTTGTCCGGAGACAAGATCTTTGGCAGGCTGCCCCCCAGGCTTAGAGCTCTAAAGAAGATGAAAAGAAAACTGGAAGAAAAGAGCACCTTCATGTAAAGGGTTCACTTGCAAGTTTAATCCCCCTCCCCTGCAAAAAGAGGGACAAGTCAGAAATTGTGACACGGAGAAAGAGAGGTCCAGGCTGATTATCATCTGGAAATGAGACTGTAACGTGATTGTCCTCACAGAGCACCCGTCTGTCACAGGCCTTCCTAAAATCACAGACTCCTTGGAAATGGAGAGTGGTGGCATGGACTGACTTAAGAACGGTTTTCTTTTTGGGACCAGCCCCCTTCCTCTCCCTGCCTTGTTGATTCTTGGCTTGATTTCCTCTCCCTCTCTTGCCCCATCTTTTCTTTTCACAGATACAAAACAATATCCGGTGTTTGTGGGCCACAAGCCAGGACGGAACACCACGCAGAGGCACAGACTGGACATCCAGATGATGATGATCATGAATAGAACCCTCTACATTGCTGCTAGGTGAGGGGCCTTTTGCTCACGTCTACCCTCAGAGGTGGGGGTTCCACAGTGATCTTAACCTGGGTCTCGACTGACTAATCACTGCACACTGGGAAGAAGAAACAGAAATTATGTCTGTGATACTTGCATGGCTGTGAGCATAGATAAGGAACAGGTCAATAAGAACCGTGCTTCATTCTTCTAAAGCACTTAGGTGTTCTCAAATGACAAGCTATGCAACATCAACCAAAAACCGTGGGCCACATTACAGTATCCTGCGAGTACCCCACAACACGTCTCAGGGAGCAATGCCAAAGCCCTTTTCAACGATTTTACTTCACGAATACGTACATGGTACATACTAGTTGTATGTGCTAAGTTTTTTTATAAATGTTCATCCATTCAGTCCTGGAAAAGAACCCTAGTTCAGTGAAGGAGCTATTACCTTCATGTCTTTAAGGAAGAAACCCAGGGTGAGAAAGGTGAAATGCCTGGACCAAAATGACAAAGGCAGGGTTTGAAGTGGGGTGGCCTTGCTCTAGAAGCTGGGCATTTACTCCCGGTCCTGGGCAGCCTACTGAGGAGGAGAGGTGGTCCTATCTGTCCTGGCAATAACTTTCTACTAGCTTGTGCCCATGAACAAAGCCAGTGTGGGTATTCCTTAGCAAGTGTTCCACTGAGGCCCTCAGTAGGTACCTCGCTGGTAGAATATCAGGTCCTTCTTTTTTTTTTTTTTTTTTAAGATCTTATTTAAAATTTTTTGATAGAGAGAGCACGAGCGGGGGTAGGAGCAAAGAGAGAAGCAGACTCCCCGCTGAGCAGGGAGCCCAACGCTGGGCTCCATCCCACGGCCCTGGGATTATGACCTGAGCCGAGGGCAGATGCTTAACTGACTGAGCCACCCAGGCGCCCCTCATCAGCTCCTTTTTAAATATCATTTTTAGATCCCTAAATGTAGCAGGGCTGGAAGATTACATTTGTAGTCAATTATCTATAGGCTGGTCAAAACAAATGATTAAACACTGGATCTGTGAGAAATAGGTTGAGTCAAGAATCTTCTATGAATGATTCACTCTGCAATTGAGTCTCTAGGGAGAAAAACAGGATAACGGACCTCGTACCTGATGATTTAGTGTGGGTGTGGACTGCAGGTCCAGGGTGGCACCTGAGTTAGGAGCCAAGTGTTATGCAAACTTAAAAGAGACCATTATCCCAGCTCGTTAAAACCCAGACAGCGTTATCCTAACCCTACCCCCACCCCCACCCCCAATAAAGGAGAAATATAAGGGAAAAAAGGAGAGAAACACATTCATGGTTTTAAAACTCTACAACAGACTTGCCTTTTGTTAAAGGTCAAATTTGTAAGACCCCCGGCACTGACCTGTTGGTTTCCACTCTACACACGGCCACTTGCCTTCGTACCTACCCTTGGGAAAATTCCCGAAGGAGTTTCCTGGCTACCATGTTTAGGGTCTCTCCTCTCCCTTCAATTTCCCAACACTGCCCAGAGAGATCCAGGTTCCTGAGCAGCAAGTGACACGATGTAAAGCCCAATCCTTCCCCCAAGCTCAAACCACGGCAACACAATTCAGTTTTGCTCACTGGAGCTGGGGCGGGGGTGGGGGGTGGGGGGGTAAGAGGAAGAAGAAGTCCTCGGATTAAGTCAGTTTGTGTTCAAATAACTGAATTCAGTTAAGTACAGCTTATGAATCCTGGGATATACACATGGGCAGGTGGGAATAACTGTCCACTCCGGCCTTAGGTTTAGCATAAAGCACGGTTTCTGTTTGCCGAGCAATGTGATCTCCTGGATATTGAAAAAGATTGCAATAGTCCAAAAGATTTCATTCACAGATTTCTATTTTTAAAATAGGCTTCCCGGTTCTTCCAGACAATTGGTGTCAGCCATCAGAAACCAAGTCCCATCCAGAACCCAGAGACTGAGTGAGCCTTGATGGCAGGAACCCCTTTCAATTCTGCTTTATTACTATCCATTTTGAAAATTCTTTTTTTGTTTGTTTGTTTAATCTCTAAACTGCTAATTAACATAAACAGGCCATGCCAGAAAGGGGCAATCCCAGAGCTTTCTGAGGAATTGCCAGTGCATATTAATCAGCTGTTAATTTACAATTTGTATATTCAGCTCCTACTTAAAGTTTTCAGGGGAGGGAGGGCAAGGAAAAACCTAGAGTCATCTCAAACCTGATACCAAAGTAATAGGCAATGCCGTCCCAATAATGAGCCCAACCCACAGCGCCACCAATAAAGGCAAACAAGTAATAAACGAATGCAATAAAACTGCCTTGAAATTAAAGGGCAGGGTGATTCTGGCTCCCTACGGAGGTTCCAAGAACTTCCCACTTCAGCAATTTACAAAACCAGGCTCCCCATTCTCCCCCCTCACCACACACACACACACACACACACCCGGAGGCTCAAGCAGGGACACACACACACACACACACCACCCACCCCCGAAGCTCAAACACTCAGAGTTGCAAGGAAATTTTATAAGCCAACCGCCTTGCCCCCAACCTTTATTTTCACATGAGAAAGCCTGTTTTTATTTGTTTTTCTCTGTTGTACTTTGCCTAAAACAGTAGCAGATTTCCAAAGAAGGTAGGAGGAGGGAGAATTAAAGTGAATCCTGACAGCAGATCATTCCTTTTCTTTTTTCTTCCCCACTCCCTCCACTTTCTCTTAAGTAATGAGGGGGCCTGAAAGTCTACATGGGAGCCTTGAGGTCCTGGTTTAAAGCTGTGGGTAATTTTCCAGCCCCAGGACTTCCTGCGTTTTAGAAAAAGTCAATGTTATTTCAAGGGAAAATGAGCTGTTTTGCTTTCCCTCGCTAGCCCCCCATCTCCCCAGTTGAGTGAGTTCCCTTTTCTTTCTTCTGAATTCCAGACAAAAACGCCCTTGTGCTCAGCTCACACAGAAGGGGATGTTTAAATATAGCCCCACACCTGAGCTGCTGATTCTGTTTCTTCCCTTCCAGGGGGAGATTGGCAGCAGATCGTAAAGGCAACCAAATTCTCAGCAAAACAGGAAGGTGAACAGAAGCAAGAAATGTAAACTTTAGCTCAAGTACATTTTAGACCTTAATTGACCATCACTGTGTGAAGAAAACAGTGCTTTCTGGAAATAATTTCACTGTTATCGTCTTCCATCTTGTCAACCACATCATCAAAGTGAAGGCTGGAAATAAGTTTTGTACAGAGAGAAACAGCCAGAGATGAGCTTTTTGTTAGCCCCCATGATGAACGAATGTGGTTTGTTGCATACCAAGTGTTTGGAACATGGATTTGAAGATACTGAAAAGGCATGGGGAAACCCACCTGTGTTCTGGTTTTTGGGTCAATTTAACTTTCAAAGTCCTCTCTCCTGAGCTATGTACATACAGGCATTCTAGTGCTGGTATGAGTGGGACAACAGCAAAGTTCTCATAAAAGGTGCCCCTTTCAGCAAGATGCCATGATTTGTCAGAAGTTGCAGAGTGTGATCGAGAGGCATCTCTTGCAGGCTGAACTGTTCCCTTTTTCTTGCATGCGGACGTTTCTTTTCTAATAACGTAGATATGGATTTATCTGCCTTGAATGAGATACACACTCATTCAGGAGAAAATTAACTGTCTTGACTCCTGCGTTTGACACTGTATCAATTTCTCATTGTTTACAGGGACCATATTTATACTGTTGATATGGACACCTCACACACAGAAGAAATTTATTGTAGCAAAGTAAGTAGTTTTAAAACCATCTTTCTAAAATGAAGGGCTTTAGGATAGTTCTTGAAGAGAAAACGTATTTCACATGCACTAAATGAGATGACATGGCTAATAACTGGGAATGATTTGGAACATTTTTTTGCAATCCTACAAATTTGGGGCGAATCCCTGTTTGGAAACAGCTATCTACTTCATAGTTTATTCACCAAATATGTGTGCCTGTGTACTTTGGAGTTTTAGGTCATCTCCAAATTCCTTTAATAAAATACTACCATGTTTGTCCAGGAAAATATCAGTTTTCATATGTAAAATTCTGCCCCACAAATGTTTCAATGTTACATTTCCATGTCTTGCAGTATTAAGTTTGATTTGCCTGTTGTGGCTCAGCAACCTGATCATTAACCACTTCAGACAGACATAAAATATAACCTAAGTTTCCCCTCTAACTCCACATGGAGGTATTTTAGTTAATAAAATCTGCCACAGAAGTAGAGGATCCCTTCAGTCTATGAATTTACGTGGAGTGGAACCTGAATTAAATCTTTGTCCACTCAAAGTGAATGTCCCCTTTATGTTTAAGTAAATGACTTCCATATTTTAAGGGGAAAAAGCATGCTTTATGAAAAGCGATTTATCAACTGAAAGGAAAGGGCAAGGACGTGTAGTTTATCAAAATGAGTGTCATTTAGCAAGTTGATTTGGATATTTTATGAGAAATCTCCACACTGTTGTTTGTTCTTCTTTCCTTTTCTCCTTCCTCTTTATCTCAAAGAGAAGAAGATCATTCTGTAGTTTAATGAATAGATAGGAGTTCAAAATTAAACGAACGGTTCCCATCTCTGATCTTTTGTTGTGATGGTGAATTAATCATGGAGAAAGGGTGCGGAAAGCTTTCAATAAATATATGTTCAGCCTCCGTCTCCCCAAGGGAACTCTTACTTCTAAAATCAAATGCAACCACCTCTGGGCTCTAATTGATTTCTTTCTTGATCCCTGCAGAAACTGACATGGAAATCGAGACAGGCTGATGTAGACACATGCAGAATGAAGGGAAAACATAAGGTAGGCAATTTTCATTTCTCCTGCAGCTGCCACTTTGGGTTAAGTTTTTGACTGTTACCTCCAGCTGTAGACCATGATGTGGAATGGATCGTGCTAGTCCCTTTTCCCCCAGTAATTGCTTTTTCCATCAGCTTACTGAAGGCTTTAATTTGCAAAAACAGTTTGCTTTTAATGTGATGAAATATTACGACAGCTGCTAGGACTGCATCATGAACTACTGAGGGACACTGGGGATTATGGACACCAAGTTGGCTGCCCCAACTCTTCTGAGCACTCTCTTCGGTAGCCCCACACGCAGACCAGAGTCCTCGGGGAGGCTGAAGAAGAGCTCAGGACAAAGCTGCTGCAGACAGACGGGGGTTTGTGCCTTTAGTCCCAGAACAACATAAAAACACACTTCAGCCAGGAGCCTTGCCCATCAAGGGACCCTGGGACATCTGGCATTAAAATTAATATGATGGGAGGCTGGCACTTCCACACTCGTTCTCTCTGTGCTGTGCTTTTAGTTTCTGTTAAAAAAAAAAAAAAAGCCATTGTCGTCAACGTCATCTTTTGGTAAACATCAGAAGGAGCTCGACTTCTTAAGCGGGGGAACTCTGCAGCCACCTTCCTTTCTAACCTTGCTGTCAGCAGATGGTGGTAGATGGTGAAGGATGGGTTTTTGTATTGGACGGACTGGATACAAAAGAGTTTGCGTTATTTTTCAGGATGAGTGCCACAACTTTATTAAAGTCCTTCTAAAGAAAAATGATGATACTCTGTTTGTCTGCGGAACTAACGCCTTCAACCCTTCCTGCAGAAACTATAAGGTAAATGCGGTTTTGTCAGTTGGGGACCACGTGGGCTGGAGGTAATCTGTGATTTAATGTGATTGTACCTGCAGCAGCCTAAGAGGGGTAATTCAACACCATCTGGGTTCCTCTCCCTCGTTGGACTTAATGTACTCCTCCACATGAGTGATCCTAAGCAGGCTCCTAAGCTTCCTGTTTGTGCAGGATTGACTGACACATCTTTAAGGAGCCTACCCAGCAAAGTTAGTTTCTCTAAGACCCTATTCTTCATTGTTCGGAACTCCAACAGACTTTTCCACGTGTATCGTGTGGATTTCCCCTCCCTCCCTTCCTCTTTCTCCCTCCAACCCCACCATCTCCTCTCAGCACAAAAACACACTTGGGTTGTGAGTGATTCCTATTTTAAGAGGTATCTCAAAAGCGTGCCACTGGAAACTGTGGACTTTCTTCCAGGAGAGATTTCTAAGACCGCAGAAATTTAATTCCATTTAGCACTCAGCTTACCTGACGGTGGCCTTACCCACTGTGGCCTTCATGCAAGGGAGCATTAACAACTCAAGTTAGTTCTGAGCAGCGGACAGGTGCTGCTGAAGTAGCAGGAGCAGAGGTGGCCACGAGCTAAGGTCTTGGCTTCACATCTGTCAGCTCCCCTTGCCCCTTCTTTCTGCCACAGCCCTTCTTTCCGCAAACACGTACTGCGTTTCTCACATGGCCAGGCACTGAGGCTGTAAGGCCGAAGAGGAGGCCTCCACCCTTAGGGAAGCCAGACAGGGAGAAGAGAAATATCATTCCATGGGCCGCTACCACGGCGACTCAATGCGGAGCATTATGGAAGCACAGCAGAAAGGCGCTAAGCTTGGCCAGAGGTGAGGAATCAGAGAAGGCTTCTAGAAGGAAGTAGATGACCCCTCTCTTCAGATGCTCCCTGCTGCTGTTCTCACATAGGGAACATGAATGCCCCCAGTCCAGGAGACACCCTCAAGCTCTGTGACTGTGCACGACCTGACCCAGTGCCTCCCAACAGGTGCTCCACTCATTTGTGTGGGGTACACAGTGGGTGAGAAGCCTAACCTTTGTTTTAAAGAAGTAGACGTTAGCCGAAGGAAGAGAGAAGGGTATGGTAGGCAGAGGGAACGGCATGAACAAAGGCACTGAGAAAGAAACAGTCTGTCGAGCTTGAGAAACTTCCTTTGGGTCTGAGTGCTGGACCCTGAAGTGACAATAACTGAGTAGAGGCTGGACAGGTAGGGGGCGATGGGGATGGGGACGAAGGGAGGGGAACAGATTCGGGAAAAACCAGTAGGATTTAAGAACTGATAAGCAGGGGCGCCTGGGTGGCTCAGGCGGTTAAGCGACTGCCTTCGGCTCAGGTCATGGTCCCAGGGTCCTGGGATCCAGCCCCGCGTCGGGCTCCCTGCTCTGTGGGGAGCCTGCTTCTCCCTCTCCCTCTGCTGCTCTATCTCTCTGAAGGGTAAATAAATAAAATTTTAAAAAAAAAAAAGAACTGATGAGCAGCCCAGGATAAGGAGAGGGAGGGGTTGAGAATGACTGCAAGGCTCTCTTGGGAAAGGGGATGGATGGAGCTGCCAGCATCTGGGACGGGGAGTAAGAGCAGAAGAGCGCTGGGGCTCGTGGGGGCCGGCTGTCTTACCCTCATGCTCATCTTCTATCTGACACTTAGAAGTGGGCCCCAGCAGGGCCCGGATTAGGGTGAGGCAAGGGAGGCATGCGCCCCAGGCACAAAATGTTAAGGGGTTCACCAAAAACATTCAGTATCAAGGTAAGGTCAGTGATATTTTTAATGCAGTACTTTTCAAAATCTAAATTAATGTAAAAAACACTATCCTAAAATAGCAAACTTTTTTTTTTAAGATTTTTTTTTTTTTAATTTATTTGACAGAGAGAACACAAGCAGAAGGAGAGAGAGGGAGAAGTAGGCTCCCTGCTGAGCAAGGGGCCCGATGTGGGACTTGATCCCAGAACCCTGGGATCATGACCCGGGCCGAAGGCAGCCGCTTAACTGACTGAGCCACCCAGGCGTCCCAATAGCAAACTTCTCAATAATGACAGGATCTATTCGGTCTGTAGCAGGCAGTCGGGCCAAACATTTCCTCTCGCCAGTGACAGCGTACAGCTGACGTTTTGACTCTAATTCTCCCACTTAATATTCCATCCCTGTTTGTCATTGTTTAGGACTCATTCAGATTAATGCTTTTCACAATTCCCAACCAATTCCCTAGCTGGAAAGCTATCTTTTATGACAAACAACAGGTCTTCTTGGCACTGTGATACACAGGCTGGGGGAGGTCTAGCTCATTCTTCCCACACGTGTTCCATTCCCCGGGACGCCTCACCTGTGTGGTGAGACTGTCACCTCTCGCTTGTTCCAGCCACACCTGCAGAGACCCGTTCGGGAGCCTGGGCCTCTCAGAAACCACACACAGGATGCTCTTCCCGCACAGTCCTGTATGTCTGCCTGGGCAGTGCTCAGAGAAGTGGGTTTCCAGACTCCGGGCAGAGCAGGACTTTGTGGATGATGTGAGACAAGAATGTAATTGGCTGCAGGAAGAATGGACAGTCTCTCCTTTCCCCTCTCATAAGGGCTTTTTATGAACAGATCAGGACTATAGGTTCAAAGCAAAAATAATAACCAGTCTTCCCCCACTCCGCCCCCCCCAAAAAACCCCAAGTCTCTTAGTGCAGAAGCATCAAGTTGATTATACTAACTTGAAGCAGGAGGGTGACAAATTTTTGGTCTCTACCTCTACACCATGCCCCAATTTACACAGTTTTAAAACAGAAGCAAGCTGAATGTAATAGAAAGATTAGAGCCCCAAATAAGATTATCTGGGGAAGAATTCCATAGGCCACCCACTATAAATCTAAAACTACACTCAATGTCTTTTCCCTCCTGCTCTCTAAACCCCTTGAACTTGTGCAAAAAGTCAGGCTGGTTCTTAGTATAATTACCTGTACCCTCTGGTGATTTAATTTCCAGGGGCTGCTGTTAAGTCTGAGATTTGGAGACTACCACAAGGATTAGTTCTAACTTCATGGAAAGAGGATTTCACCATGGCATTGTTTTGTCTCTGGACCTTTCCAGAATCACAAACCGAAACATTAATACTTCACTGCTTCTTGCCTTTGACTTGCTATAGCTACGGTTCTTTTTTTTTTTTTTTTTTAGAAGTAGGTACATTTAATAACATAAATCCCCCCTTGTATATTGTCTCCCCATTGCCAAGATTACAGCATGCACTGCTGGGGATAAAGGCATTTCCACTGCATCACTGTGTACTAAGCATTATTTTTGGATACTTGCCAGACCCATAGACCACAAAGTCTGTGACAATTCAACACGATGCTCTTATTGGGATAAAATATGTATTTAAAAAAAAAAAAAAACCTTTCATAAAAGTATGCTGAGGGCGCCTGGGTGGCTCAGTTGGTTGGGCGACTGCCTTCGGCTCAGGTCATGATCCTGGAGTCCCTGGATCGAGTCCCGCATTGGGCTCCCTGCTCGGCAAGGAGCCTGCTTCTCCCTCTAACCCCCGCCCCCACCATGTACTCTCTCTCTCTCTCTCTCATTCTCGCTCTCTCAGATAAATAAATAAATCTTTAAAAAAAAAAAAAAGTATGCTGAAGGGAGAAGAGTGCATTTAAAGGATGTCTCACCTGAACATCTTTCCCCTAAAAATACATGTTTTTAATACAAATGCTACTGGGATTCTCAACAAGTTTGAACAGATAGGATGGGCTTCAATAGGAGCTATCTCGAAGCAGTTACAGAAGTTCTGTCATATCCCTGAAACCGTTTCCTGGGGGTTGAGGGCAAAAAACACGACTGGACAACACTACCAGCCACTCAGTAAGCACCTCACTCCTCCTGCACAACGACTCCAAACAGCTTGATTTAAGGGCCCTGACTCTGTCCCTCTCAGTGGATCCTCCCTGGGCCCCAGTGCTGTCTCAGGCTTCTCTTCTTCCAGTTTCGTATCTATAGTCAAACCAGGTAACTACCAGTTATAAACAAGATACCCTCAAACCACAAAAAGAAGACTGAACCACAGAGGGTTATAAAAACATTAATGACGTGGAGGAGATAATTTTATGGACTCTGGTACTGAGCTGTAAATGCTAGGGAGATCCCATGGTGTAAGGAAAAAGACCACACGGTAGAAGGCAGAAACCACCGAATCACTGGTCAAGGTAGGCCAACCTCTGACTAACGTTAGGGGCTGGCCAAGAGAAGTGTCGTTCCTGCTCACATCACAGTTGAGTGCAGATCAGTGACAGAGCGTCTGCTCCACTAGGTTATGCAGACGGCTTTATCCTGCTCCTACCTCTGCCGTCTCCTAGGATCTTGGGATTCTGGACTGGATCCTTTGTATCTAGCGGGGCGGAAGATAGAGCAAGAGTGGAGGACACTGTAGAGGCAAGACCTAGAGGTGGCACATACCCTTCCACCCCCATTCTGTGGGCCAGAGCTCCTTCCGTGATCACACCTAACTGCAGGGAAGGGTGGGAAATGTAGTTCAGTGTGAAGTGGAGGAAAGGGAAACAGACTTTGGTGAGGCTTTACCTCACTAGCAAGGCTTTAGCACACCCACAAATCCTGTGAAGCTAGGTGGGTAACTTGCAGGAGTAAGCTAAGCAGGGTATACGTATACTTTGTGGGTAAAGAGGCCTCGGTCCTGGAGACCATATGCTTGTTTGAAGAAAATAGCAGGGTGGTCATTATTTCGCTTACAGCTGGTTGCTGCCACTTGGGTAAAAAAAAGGCTTGAATTGACTTTTCCACTTGCTCAAAAATAAGAAATCAGGTTTCATTTACAATCTCCTTATTTTAAAATAGAGCTCAGTTTTTCTTTTTTCTTTTCATTCTCTCTCCCTCCCCTCCTTCTTTCTTTCCATACGAAGATGGCCAAACAAACCTCCCTGACAGGCCAGTTATAACCTCCAGCATGCAGGAACAAGGCACGGGGTGAGCACACATGTGGATGTCAAATGGCAGCCCCACTGCTGACCGCCTTTGACTTGTGTGAGCCCCTCACCTTCTGGACCTTTCCATCTGATCTACATGATTGGAGGCTGGGACAGGTTTCTGAAGTTGGTGCAAAAGGCCACCTGAGTTTTGCTTGCATCAGTGTTTCTGCACCTCTCCTGACACCACACTCTTCTGCCAGCTAGCCACAGGAAGAATTCCAGTGTCTTCTACTGGGATTTAACCCACAAAGGCAGGGCTCCTCAGGCAAAACAAAAACCAAAGCCTGAGATCATTCTCTACAGAGTTTATGACTCAACATTAAATTCAGAGGCAGTGGGGGAGGAAGAGAGGAAGTTTCCCCAGTGATTGCCTTAAAAATTCCTTTTCCAAAGAAAAGACGCTTATTTCTAGGCTGTTCCAAAAGGATATGGGAATCTATTTACTATAACGGTTAAGAGTCAAGGAAACATGACTGAATCTCAGACTCTCCTAGCTGTAGAACCTCGGACAAGTGAGTTCATTTCTCCAAAGCTCAGTTTCCTCATCTGAAACCAAGAGACATATCTCAGAGGGTATTTGAGGATGCTTTGCACTATGCATATGAATTACTTAGCACGTTAAGTGCTTTATAAATATTATTTGCTATGACTACTGTTGGTTGTTATTGTTCCTAATGAAGTCCCATTATTTCATTTAGATGGATACTCTGGAACCTTCTGGGGATGAATTTAGTGGAATGGCCAGATGCCCATACGATGCCAAACACGCCAACGTTGCACTGTTTGCAGGTAAACCACTTGATTTCTTCTCGTTGCATTTGCCCTCTCGCACCTGTTGCTGTCAATCTGCTCTGGAGGATTCCCCAAGTCACAGCTGTACTTTGATTCTCTGGTGAATACCATAATTAACAATGCCTTTTCCGTTTGAAATTCACATAGAAATTGTACTTCTGCTTCATACAAGGAGTCTCCACCACCCTTCCCCGGGCCTGTCTGCCTTAGAAAAGGGATCGCAGCTTTGCACTGAATGTGCAACACGTTGTATAGGGCATGTTTGGGTTCACATAATCAAAGATCCTGCCTCGAACTGCCAGTGTAGATTGATTACTCAAGGTAGGACTGACTTTGGGGCTGGGAGGATTCAATGGCTCAGTAGCGTCATCTGGGACACAGGGCCTTTTCACTTCTCTGCTCTCTTTCAATTCTTTGTCAGAGAGGGATGGGCGGCTCTCACAAACACGGGGTGGCCGCCAGCTCCAGTTAGGGCTACGTGTGTTCTTGTCCACATCTAGAAGGGGAAAGGGAGGAGACAAGGTAAAGCTGCAGGAAGATCTCCAAGCAGGGAGGCCACCTGCCCACAAGTTTCCAGCAGACACCTCAAATATCATTGACCTGATTAGGGTGCGTGCTTCTCTCTGATGGAAAGATAATAGGGGGATGGGGGGATGCGGATCAGCTTAGGGTGATGCATACTCCTCATCCTCTCCCTTTCCTTTCCCTGCCAAGGATAGAAAGCAGCAGCAACTAAGCCATCATCTTCAGATTGGAATTCTCCTGTATATGAGTGTGTGAGTGTGTGTGTGTGTGTGTGTGTGCGCGTGCGTTTTAATTAGGAATTTATTTAGGAATTCATTGCCAGCTGTGTGGAGGTGGGTGTGGGGAGAAGTGTTGGTATAATAGTGATTGTTATAGCATGTAATAAAGCAGTTAGCTATAATTTCCATCACAACAGCTCAAAACTGGCACATCCCAGCTCGATGAGGAACTTTAGAGTTTTGATTATGAAACAAGCTTAGCTCCTTGAACCCCATCCTCAGTACCATGCATTTGTGAGCCTCAATCTACAGTCCCAGAGTGGAGATGGCTTGTGCCAAGGAGGGTTCCTCAGGCTCTCCCCCGACATTAGAGCGCGGTATCAGGGGGATGCTCAGCTTTGTAAAAAACAGTCGTGTAAACCTGTCTAGTCAGCATGAGCAGGAGCAAGGCCAGGCAAAGAGTACCTCAGTGTGTAACTTACGCTACAGCACCTTCCTAACACTTGAACCTGCTGGTACCATGGAGGATGTGGGCCACCATGGAAAAGTTAACTGTCAAATAAGGGGGGGGGGGGTGCATCAGAGTAGTGGCTCAGGCCACCAACCTTCCAGGAACCTTCCAGGAGCTCCACCGAGCAAGGCCCGTGAGGCAATACTCTGAATACCCCTCCTCCTCCCCCGACAGGTATACTTGGAGAGTTAGGAATCTCATAGAAGCTCAGCCCTTATTAATAGAAGATCCTTGTTGCAACTAAAATGGTTGTCATCTTAGCAAGAGTAGCAGAATAGTGCTCTGTCTTATAAGTAAAAGTTCTGGTGAGATACCCAATGTTGAATGCAAAACTAAAAGCGTAATGGGAAGCAGATGGAAAATACACACACGCACACAGACACACGCTGCCCTCCCACTGCCCCCCGCTACGTGGCATAACTGCATGACCTGGGGCTCTGACTGATTCTTTAAGAAAAGCTGTGATTTTTGTAGACATGTGTTTATCAATAGCTAGGTTTGCCATCTGTGGTTCCAATCTAACCAGTCAACATTTATTGATAGATGGCTGTTAATAATGCAGATGTCAAGACAGCTCTAACTTGAACCTCAGCAAATTTCAGTTATTTTTAGGCCAAAAGGAGACATCGAGAACTTTGCTTAGATCTGTTGGGATAAACTTTTCTAAAAAAACCATGATGCTTATCCCGCCAGTGGAAGAGCTGAAATGGTTCTGTAGTGTATATAAGCCACTCGGACATAAAACTGATGAACGTATCCACTAAAAACGAACCAAGGAAGTACTTTTTTTATTTTGAATGTAATTATTGTTTCTGTTCCACATACTGCATAGATTTTACTATTCCAGAAGATCCTATTGGATTATTTGTACACAGGATGTTTATTAATCCAGGAAAAGAGCCAAAAGCATTAGGGATTAATCTTCAGCCTTCTTCATGCTCTTCTGCCTTAGATGGACCCTAAAGTGCATCTCCCAAAAGGCACGAATCTCAAACGAAGGCCAGGCTCAATGGGGTCACCCCTTCCCCTTTTTTCCTTGCTCTGGTGTCTCCAATGTCAGAATGTTTTCGGCTTAGGACTTTGAAATACTGAAGCAAGTATCTTTTCTTGAGGCTCCACGGGCAGGGTGCAGTGGCTCTCATGACTGAAGTAGGGAGAAGCAGTGAGTCCCATGATCAAAGGAGCAACTTAGTCAACTTCTTTTTGCTTCTGAAACCCCTTTCTCTGACTCCCCTCACCTGCCGGGGCTAAGGACTCCCATCACTTCTCACACTTACAATTTCTGGTGATACGATCAGCTTCTAGCTCTCCCTGGGCCCCCACCTAATCCAGTTTGCCACGGCATGGTGGCATTAGCAGTATCCAAGGGGCCTTGGCCTTGAGATTCCAGCCAAGGTCCATCTAATCAAGTGAAGCAAACAACATTTTTCATTTGCCCTCTTCCCTGAGCTGCTGCTGCTTAGAAATTGCCATGCAATTTAAAAATGAAAAAATGTTTCATCTCTCAAGATCCTAATTTAAAATGGTTAGGAATGTGGGCCAAGTATTTTCCCAGCGACTCTTGGGTTTTTCCCAGTTGTCCTATCTCATTTGCCTGATGTTGGAAAGCAGTCCGGGGGATGTCTCTATTACTCCCCCATGCCCACTGCCTTGCTCCCACCCCGTTCACCTCTTTTCTTTTTCTTCTAAGATGGGAAACTATACTCAGCCACAGTGACTGACTTCCTTGCCATCGATGCAGTCATTTACCGGAGTCTTGGAGACAGCCCAACCCTACGGACCGTCAAACATGATTCCAAATGGTTAAAAGGTGAACAAATAATTAAGAGGAGGAGGGGTGTGAGGGGGAGATATGTAGCTTGAGGGAGATTTAGAGCCTGGACAGACCAGACCGTAGTTTCATGTTAGTAATGGCTTCTGACAGACAGGAAGGTTGCAGCGGCATCTTTTGCCCAAACTGATTTCTTTACCTCCCCCTTTCACTTCCCATGAGTTTCTGGAGTATTAACACAACGACCAGTGCCACTACAAAAGAATACAGTACATTCATCTTTCCTGCCTTGAGCTCTCGTTTCAGAGTCTAACGTGAAAAGAACTGAATGTTTCATTCATGGAAGGGAACGGGACTGGAGGTGTTGGGGAGCAGGAAAAGAGCTATTCACAACCGTGAACGAGTCAGGGTTCACAAGGAGATGTGTACAAAATCCTTTCTGCAATACAGGCATTCCATTGTGGAAAATAAAATTAGAGACATACGAAATTCATTTATTCTTCATTGTTCATTGCCACCACTTCTGAAAGATAGAATTTGTAGGCTCAAGTGCCTTCTGGAATCACCAGCACTTGCACGTGTGGTCCTTAGAAATGGTTCGTGTTAACCCCATGTCTAATGGCCCTACACTTTTAATTAATATCATGTCTCTGGTTGCCACTGATTTGAAGTTCTTTTAACTCTGTGTGACATGTCCCCAATTAAAATGCCATTTGCCCACAGAACCATACTTTGTCCAAGCAGTGGATTATGGAGACTACATCTACTTCTTCTTCAGGGAAATAGCAGTGGAGTACAACACCATGGGAAAGGTAAGGCGGATAGAAGTCTCACTCAGACCAATGTTGTGAATGACCTTGAAAGAAGGGCCTGAAATCTAATCCCAAGGTCATCATTTAGAGAAGACTATGCCAAAGACTGGTGGCAATGGACACAGTCCTGCCTCAGAGTGCTGTGAGCCTTTTTCAGAACAGTCCCAGATCACGGGGAACCTCTGAAATATTTCTACTGAAAATGTAATCGACAGATGTTTGGCTGATTTCACACTGAGTCTCAAGTATCTTGAGAGGTGGTTTCCAGGTATACTCATCATTTTTTTTCCTTTTAATGGAGTTGTTCCACAGAAGGAGAGTAAATATCCAGCACCTTTAAGCACACGGAGAGTCTTGATTGTCTAGATTATTGCAAAAAACAGTCCACTGTTTTTTGAAGTGGATGTCCACTTCAGTTATCTTTACCAGAGAGCAGATCAAGGTCACAAAGCTGGAGGGCACAAATTCAGTGCCAGGGTGGCTTGCAGGGTTAGAGGAATTCAGACCATGAGATTCAGGGCCCAGAGGCAGCCAGTGAGGATGGCAGAGATGGTGCATACAAAGCGTGCTTTTGTTTGAGGAAATAAAAAGCTAAGCAGTCTGTATGCAAATGAGTTTATCTGGCTGGGAGCTGATCCCCTGAAGGATTTATGGCTCTGTATTAAATGCCACAGCCTTATCTTTCAAAACATGCTGTTCCAATGAGTCTTCCCTCCCCCTGCCTTTTTTTTTTTTTTTTTTGCTACTAATTTTAGAAACACGGGATTAAATTAAGCACCTTGTTGTGTTTGTTTTCTAAGAAAGGCAAATTCTACTAAGATCTCGCCAAGTTGACTGCATTTCATTTTCCTGGTGTGTTTTTCCTCGGCAGGTAGTTTTCCCAAGAGTGGCTCAGGTTTGTAAGAATGACATGGGAGGGTCTCAAAGAGTCCTGGAGAAACAGTGGACGTCCTTCCTGAAGGCTCGCCTCAACTGCTCGGTTCCCGGAGACTCTCATTTTTATTTTAACATACTCCAGGCAGTCACAGACGTGATTCATATTAATGGCCGTGATGTTGTGCTGGCCACCTTTTCCACACCTTATAACAGGTAACCGTGCCCTGGCTGCGCTGACCTCACTGGTCCTTCTGGGCTTCCCTTTCCCGCGGCAGGGGGAGGGTGGGGGGTGTCTCTCCCGATGCACAAGATTCACAACTGAAACAAAACGTGCCGCTCGCTACATGTAGCTGCGAAGCACTTAACACTCCATTTTCATCAACAAATTAACAGTTATAAGCATTATTAGATTAGGATTTTAGGGCAAGTAATTAGATAAATTATAACAATATTTCCTATTTATATGCCTGGCGTGGAAACACGTCTCATGTGTTATTTCTAAATCTCTCCAGGAGTACTGGAAACTGAATACTGTTGCCCTCTTTTTAAACCTGAGGAAACTAAACTCAATTCTGTCACCTGGTCCAAGTAGTCAGGAGATGAAAGAGACACCCTTAGAACTCAAGAACATGCCTCCTTCCTCCTCAAGGTCATCTAACGTTCTGTGTGACTTTTAATATTTCTATGACTGGATCGATTACCTTTTGAAGTGAAAACACTGAAAATGTATTTAAAGGCCACAGAGTGTGTAGGATTCCGACGAGTCCATCGTGCATCCGACCTAAGGGACCCTAGTTATTATCTGTCCGAGGAACCTAGACCCCAATGACCACTGACTCCAGGGGCTTGAGTGAGGACTTACAAGTCATGAAACAATGTACCTAGAAATACTGTCAGCCTGTTCATTCCTGTGTTCATGTTTATTTAAGCTAAGACTTTGAGTAATCAAATGACAAACTAAAAATTGTTCCTGGGGCAGCAGAAATGTGCAGAGATTAAAAAATAGGAGGAAGGCAGGCATGAGTTCTTCCAGACCTTAAACCTTAGAGTCCTAGCACTGTTGTGTGAAAATGAGCATAACCAGGCATGGTCATAAAACGTAAAAACATGAACTTCATTCTCATTTCTGTGGAGAACTTGGGATGTTCTGTACTGTCTTCCTCCGGATACACACCATTAGGGTCTGGATCATCCTTTTTATCAAGACTTAAGAAGCTGATGGGTGTCTAGATGACAGGCACCTGCATGGGAAGACTGGAGGATAGCACGTAGAAATGCTTACAAACTAGGGAGAGTCTAAAATAGAACACGCCAAAGGATGCACTGATGTTCCTCAGTTATCTGGAGGGCAAGAGTCAAGCGCTCTCCATCGAAGACACATGAAACTATGAATCCATATTGCAACATCTAAGTTCCATCTAAGTGAGCTTTAACCATCTGCAGGGATTTTTAGACTTGAGAATAGAAAAATACAAAAATCCAGGCCGTGACTGTTCACACTTTGGAATCCAAGTATGTAGAATTGTTTAAAAGAATCTGTCTTGGTACGTGGGAATGCAGGGGCTAGAGGAATTTCAAAGCACATTTCTAGTTTGTTTGGGGAGGGGGGTGTTGAGGGTGAGTTACTGTGTAATTACAATACAGTAGTAGATTCTTGTATATTATAGATACTCCGTTTAAAGTATTTTCTTAAAAGTCCTCAGGAAGCCCCCAATTAGTACCTGCTTATGCAGTCTCAGAAGCCTTATTTGTTCAGTAAAATCAGGAAATGGTAACAATGCACATGCCCATTTTCATCTATTAATTAGAGTCTGTCTCTGGTTTCATCCCTTTTCACCCCATCCTCCACACGTGCAAACTCGGTCGTGAGGGACTGTTTCAAGCCCTTGAGGTGCTCCTCTTTGCCCTGGGGATAAAACCCAAGTTCCTTGGTAGAGCACACAGGTCCCCCCACGGTCAGGCCATCTCGTCCTCCAGCTCCACAGGCCTTCCTGGATGGAGCTCAATGTGAGTTCTTGGATGTGCTGTGCCCATTCGTTCCCTACTCTGCCAGGTCTGCCAGTCTCACCAATGTGTATCAGCTTGAGGGCCTGTGTTCTTTACTACAGAGCATTTGCTGCTGGAGATTAGGGATTCCGTAAATACACACTGAAGGAACAGAAGGTGGGAAGAAAGGATGAATGAAGGAAAGACGAACGGAAGGTGGGAGGGAGTAAAGGAAGGAAGACGAAAGGATTTCACAAGTGATTCTAACCTGGGGAAGACTGATTATCAAACTCTAGGGTAACTTTAGTTATTATGAGATGCCTCATAAAATACTTCAACATTTATCCTATTTGTCATAATATTTAAAGCAAATACGTATACCTGTTACTTTTAGAAAAGGGAGCTGTGAAGAGAGTTTTACAAAATTAGTAAGTAATGCTAGGGCTCTGAGATTCCAAAACCGAAGGAGACCACTGCCGTTATCTATCCAATTCTGTGCACAATGTATATATATTCTACATATTTGAAAATTCATCCCGCCACCTTAAACAAGCTTTCTAATCTTCTCCCTAATTCTTGCTTTATTAGTAATACTTCAATAACTGTGTTATGAAATTAAAGATGGCAGAAAATTCCCCTAATCACTTTGGAAGCGATTTCCATAGCCTTTCAACGTTTGCAAAATCAAGACTAAAGCGGTCTCTCTGCCCTGGGTAATGTTACCACCCTGCAAAGTGCCCGTGTCTTGGCCCGGATGCTCCTGCCCATGCAATGGCCACTACCTCAAAGCCTGGTGAAAACTCTTGACCGGCTGGTGCCTGCAATTTATTTGATCAAAATCAAGGAATGACCATAGCTAAAAACAAACATGGGTTCAAATGAATGAATAATTCATGCCTTCTCTCCACTGATTAAAAAAATCCCCAAGTCCTTCCATGAGCACCAGAGAAGGATGTAATTATAGGTAGAGATTACCACCATTATTATTATTTAGCATTTAATAGAGCACTTTATTTGCAAAATGTTGGTGCTTTAGAGACTTAACGTTTCGTCTCACGCAAATAAATAGGAAGTAAAACTTAAAATGGGCGGTGACGAACAGAAAATAAGTATGCTCTCCCCACACATACATTCTCACTCCCAGGGTCCCTGGCTGGAGAAACCGAATTCAAAGAAGCAATATGTGGACAGATGAGACACTTTTACTTCAAATGTACACCAATATTAGAGATGCAGAATGTTTTCCAAAGATTTTATCTCTAAGGTTAGTGAGTGAAAATTCACGGAATTTCTGAACCTTCTAAACCACCAGTTATAAACAGATGCAGTTCCAAAAGCAGTAGCAACATGAAGAGGTTTTTCTCTAGGGAGTTTGCTGTTAAGCAGTCAGTCCCTTCTTCAAAGCCACCACCGACGCAAACTTGACTCAGAGAAACGTTTGTTGTGTATACTAGGCTCCCTTATAGTCAGGGTGCAAACTTTAAATTTCTCATGCCCATAACAGGAGAGTTATTCGGAGTCTGTTTTCCAAGCTGCACGCATAACTGTTTTGAGAGTAACGCTGTGTGAAACGTTACGTTACAGCATCCCCGGGTCAGCAGTGTGTGCCTACGACATGCTTGACGTTGCCAGTGTTTTCACGGGGAGGTTCAAAGAACAGAAGTCTCCAGATTCCACCTGGACACCAGTTCCCGATGAACGCGTGCCCAAGCCCAGGTATGTGTAAATATTTACGTGGTGATTCTGAATGGCGAGAAGTGGGCAGCTTGGTCCTCTGACAGTGAACGTCTTAAAGAACTGCACACCGGCGCCTTCCAGGGGGCCCCAGAGACACAAATGCTGGAACAACAGAAAGCCCTAGGAAGCCATTTGCCTTCATGCCCTTAACCTAAACTCAGCGTTACCTATAGTTATATTCAAACGACAACACTCGCGTCTTCTACTTAAGCTCTATCCCTGTGGGTTATCCAGTGTAATCCTAGGATGATGGGAAGCATCCAGTGCAGCCCCGCTGCCGTATAGCTGAGAAAACGGGAGGCTCGGAGAGGCAGAATGTGTCTTGTGCAAGTGCACAGACCTGAGTAGGTTATTTCCACCACTCCACCCTGCTTCCCCGTCCCTTTTATAGAGACCCATGTCCTTACACCCTAATAAAATGTGAAATATACATGGTGATCCCTGGATTCTGTAACCAGGCTGGATCGGCGCTGCGTCCAGCACTCTGGGGCAAGGGCAGGTAGAGACCAGTGGGCACAGTGGACCATCACATTTTCTCTGCTCTACCAGGTTCTAGTCTGTTGTGGATCCAGAAACAGTCCATATCCCTCCACCAAAATGTAGAGCCCCAGAATCACTTTCATGGAAAACCTGTTGTCCCAGGACAATGCAGAGACCTCTTGGTCCTGGTAACCTCCGGGAAATCTTCGCACTAAGCCAGCTAATTCATTCTCTCTCCGCGGACAGGATGAAACTCTCCCCCGCCCCTGCGCCTGCCCTCCTCATGTAGCACGCACTGCACACTTCCATTATAACATGTGCCATCTAAGTTCTATAGAAGCATCTGTGTGTCCAGCTTCCTCCACTGAATTTGTGGGCTTCTGCAAAGAAGCCCAATAAATATCTTCATTTTTTGGTTTGCAGCACTCTCCTCCAACCACCAAACCCCCACACAAAATACCCCCGGTCCACTTAATTGAACTGACTTTGATAACATGAACCACTCTACCCAGGGGGAAAAACCTCTGTGGTTCATCCATCTCCATCGCCTGAATTATCCACTGTGTGTATACGGTTACTCACAGAGAGACTAGGTGCAAAAAGCACACTATGGCAAGCTCAGAGAGATCCTCTAAAAGTCACTTCACTGCCTGGGAATGTTAGCTACTCTCTAGATAAGCAGGAAGGGGAAGAACGGTTGAGGAATGAGGTTTCAGGGAGTACTTGTAGAATATGCTCCCGTTGGTGTGTGAAGATGGTGTCACTTGGCTATGGCCAGGACACAGACTTTCTCCCCATCCTTCCACGTGCTTCCTCATTCCTCTGGCTGACATCAGGTTGCTTTCACAGGGCTGGCTTGGTTAGTGCCATAAAATGGTGTGTAAATGAGGCCAGATCATGCCATTGCTGTCAGGGTCCGGGGTGCTCTCCTGAACCAGCAGGCAGAGCTGGGCTGTGGACAGGACTGTTGTCGGTGTTTCCCTGACCCGACTTTACTAGGCTGTCCCTTGACTCCTGAAACCACGGAATTGCTTGTAGAAATGACTTTTTGCTGTCACTGTTCAGAAATCAAGAAATGACCTTTCGGGAGAGAATCTTCAGTGTAGCTGGCTTTTCACACCTGCCCAAATCAAACAAAAACAATAAAAACAAAACCGCATGTTCTCGGACGCCCCGGTAAGGAGAGCCGGTCACAGTGAGTCTTGCTGGCCTGCGGGCGGGCAGGCCACTATGTCTGTGCCGACGTCAGCTGCCTTCTCTCCTTCCGTAGAGCAAGTGCCTCAAGAATGTCCCGCAGGTTTTTAGGACAGGTAGCAGAGCCTGGGGCACGTGGGCAAAGCACACACTTCCTCCCTTGTTTTAAGCCCCGTCACTGTTTGGGGGGTTTGTGCTTCTGGGGGTAAGCCAGGCTGTCGCCAGCTGAGGCTGAACTGCCCTGGCTGGAGCTTCTCTACGGAATGAGGAGGCGGCCAGGAGAAAATCTAAGCATATTTTATTTGGTGGCATTCTGCATCGTTCCACTTCCTCTTTACAGCCTACAGTATATTCTCCCCCATGACAGATGCTCAGGGAAGCAGTTCGTTCAAAAAATTTGCCATAAGGCATGAAAAAAAGCTCCCTCCCTTTGTTTCTTTTTAGGCCAGGTTGCTGCGCTGGCTCATCGTCCTTAGAAAAATACACAACCTCCAATGAGTTTCCCGATGATACCCTGAACTTCATCAAAACGCACCCACTCATGGATGAGGCTGTGCCTTCTGTCATCAACAGGCCGTGGTTCCTGAGGACAATGGTCAGGTGGGTGTTAAGCAAATCACGTCCAAAATGGATTTTTCCCTACTCCATCTCATGTTCACAGAACCTATTGGTGGATCATGATTTGAAATGCCACAAACATCTTCTGTTATCCTGGGCATTGATTCAGCTATGAAATGCTGGCCAGTTGGGTGCCTGCCACAAAACCCCCATCACCACATTCCCAGTGAGACAAGTTCTGATATTTTCAGGCTAATTGGACCCATGCCAGCAAATAGAGGCAACAAAAATATCTCCTTCCGGGTGAGAGTCTTCTGGGCAAAAGCAGGAAGCAGTGAAGGAGAACCAGTCGATGGATGTGGATACCTGTTTGGTTGGATATGGTTGCAAAGCATGCTCCAGATTCCATCCAAGTCCTGTCCCCAGCTCGTTAGCTGTCACACAGGCCAGGGATGAGCAACACTTGCACAAGTACGCTAGCGTGAAGGATTCATACTGTACCATTTGTAATCCGAAGGGGTGGCCAGAGAGAAGGGACAGTTGATTAGAAATCTGTGATGGCGTTAAATACTCCTTCTTGTATTTCTTTAGAGCTTATTTCCAGACTATTCCACAGGCTTTCCCAAGCACCATCTTGTTGGCGGCAGTCATCAAACAAAATGTTATTCAACTTTACCACCATTTTTAAACGGTGACTTTATGGGAAGATGTTAAAAGTACTATAATGGCTCTTGCCTGTAAAATGGAAACTGTGGTATATAACTTGTAGGAGGGTCTGTGTTTTCTGGCTTCTGCCAAGGTGCCTGGCACAAATGGGTATCCACAGAGTGGTGAACAGCTGAGAGATACCTGAGAAAGATGGTGCCTGATAGGACGTATCGAAGGACCGCTGTCCTTCACCTGTGGCTTTAAATGGAACTTGTTTGGCTCGCACGTCGTCGTATTTATTTATAGAGCCATCCGCATGCCACTCCCCCATCCTTCAGAACTTCCTCGGCCCCTCTACGTACACTTGGAAAGCTTTCCAATCGGCCATTCTGCTGACAAGGCTTTGCACCTCGGAGGCAGAGTACGGAAAACTGGTAGCTGTTGCTTTTCTTTTCAGTGTTAACTGAAATGTTAAATGAGTTGGGTTAGTAGTATTTCTTACCGTCTTCCTGGGAGACCTCAGCCTTTCCTTGCTGCTCACGGAAGGGATCACTGCTGAGCGGTGTCAGATGGTTGAGGCTGTTTGTTATGTGACTTGGCCTCCACAAACACACACCTCTGTCCTCCCCTTGGAGTAACACTAATGCTCTGCACGTGGAAATAAAGGACCAGAACAGCTTGAGAACATTATCTATACGCATGTATTTTTCTTGAGGTTATTACTAGAAAGCTATGTCACAATTGTTTGAAGTGGAAAAGGGGACCCTTCAGTGACAGACCGACAAAGATATAAAAACCGTGATCCTGTCATTTTAGATACCGCCTGACCAAAATTGCGGTGGACACTGCTGCTGGGCCATATCAGAATCACACTGTGGTTTTCCTGGGATCAGAGAAGGGAATCGTCTTGAAGTTCTTGGCCAGGATAGGAAACAGTGGTTTCCTAAATGACAGCATTTTCCTGGAGGAGATGAGCGTTTATAACCCTGAAAAGTATGTAGACTCTTCGGCTCTTTCTTAGTCATTATTTGTCATTATGATCCTTCTGACTCAGAGAAAATCTGAGGATAGGAGACTTTAGTTTTATGCGTTTTTAGGTGACTTTTAGTATTGTTTGTAAAAAATACTTTAATATTTAAAAAGCATTATTTTCTCCTTGCCAATAGTGTGTGTGTTTATACAGATACACACACGTGGGTTGGGGAGGGCAGCTTAGAAGACCTGTTTCACCTTCGGTGAGACCAGACTAAGGTACCACCCTGTGGGCTGGGAGGCAGGGTGGGAGGGGGTGTCAGGAGAAAGAGAATTGACTCAAGAGGGACTACGACAGTATTATCCTACCTTGTAACATTAGGTGCAGCTATGACGGAGTAGAGGACAAGAGGATTATGGGCATGCAGCTGGACAAAGCAAGCAGCTCTCTGTATGTTGCATTCTCCACCTGTGTGATAAAGCTTCCCCTTGGCCGGTGCGAACGACACGGGAAGTGTAAAAAGTATGTATTTGGCCTCATTGACCATTAGAAAGTCCTAGAACGGAGTCCTGGGTAGCTCATGGCCCTGTTCTTCCCGCAGAACCTGCATCGCCTCCAGAGACCCGTACTGTGGGTGGGTAAAGGAAGGAGGTTCCTGTGCCCACCTGTCACCCAGCAGCAGGTAAGGAGCCTGAGCTGCAGAAGAGCATAAAACGGCCTTTGGCTGCTCTGCATTCTAGATGTACACACGCCCCTGCACAAACCTCACCAATGGGACTGCCAGCCGTTCTGCTTCCTCTTCCCATTTCATAGAACATGGCGACATCGCACGTGGCAGATTTCCAATTGTTTAATCATCCGTCCTCAGACTGATGAAAAACACAGAGAAAAGAAACACAATGGGCTCCTAAGTATTCCCTGGAGAGAGGGACAAGAAGGTGCATGCCTTGATCGTGGCAGTGTAAGAACAGCAGAGAGAAGGAGCAATAGGGTCCCGATTAGATTAGTGCCGTGGTCTGTCCGGCCACAGCAAAACTGGTTCCTCTAATGGACCATGCAGGGCCGAGAAGAGATCACAGAGCATCTGTTAAGCAATGCATTTGTACTGCAAGGATGGTGTATGCATCCAATAAACCATTCTCCTGCACTGAAGAACTGTTGACCCTATTACTCGTTAGGGAGTCAGTCAATTCTTGGCAGTTCTCCAGCCGATCAGCTAGATCAGGCCAGTCCATCATGCCTGTGATGTTGGTGCTTAAAATTGTTAGCCTGACTTTACATGCTTAGATGGCATTAAAGTTTTTTTCCCCCCGTCTTTACTTTAGTGGATATGAAATCCAATGCACATCCTTGACAAGTTACGGCAACTCGAGGAAGGTGCGATATGGCAGCACAGTTCTGTCTGAGCCATTCCTTCAACGTCCCCAGATCCAAGAGGGCAAAGAATCGTCTCGCCATCACTCTGAGCCTCCTCTCCCATTTTAGAATAGCTGGACAGGCAGGAGAGCGTATCTGATGACCACCACATGCATCATTTGAGGGAAAGTATTCCCACAAACACAGCTCATGACGGTTGTTAAAGTCTGACCTGGAAATCTGACTAGTACAAAGGGTTGACTCACTACACATGATGAGATCAGCTTCAAAGTAGCAATACTGACATACTAGAGTTAGAATTTTGTGTCTTTTCATGGGAACCCTTGAGGTGAAGGAGTAAAGATCACAAATCACACTGAGGAAAGCTAAGAAATGACCTATCTCCTTTCTGTATTCAAGGTGTGACTGATTTTTAAAAATCATTTTTAAGTCGGGGAGCCTGGGTGTCTCAGTCGGTCAAGCATCTGCCTCTGGCTCAGGTCATGATCCCAGGGTCCTGGGACTGAGTCCCACATCGGGCTCCCTGCTCAGTGGGGAGTCTGCTTCTCCCTCTACCCCTTCCCTCCCCCCGCCTGTGTTCAGTTGCTCTCTTCAACAAATAAATAAAATCTTAAAAAGAAAATAATTTTTAAGTAAACATGTGAACTCCAAAATTGTTCCCTTAAGGATCTACATCTATATTTCATTGCTCAAAACATGTGGAACTCTCCTTGGAAAACAGCCTTCAGGGCCTGATGAATTCTGGCTTTCACTACCACTGAAAATCTTTATCCTTTGAATATGAATTTGATTTTTAACAGAAAAAAACACTGGAAAACAAACATGGTGAAGGATTCAATCAAGGTGGTGACTTTCCAGATAGTTTTCCTAAATGGTCCATAAAATAAACTCTAAGGCAGTTGCAAACTAGAGTTTCAATGATGCTGTGAGAAGCAGCATGGAGCTCCCCCACCCAAAAAAGGACAGTACTCCTCTGAGTGAGTCCAGTGGGCTTATTTTAAAAAATCAAAATAGATATATTGAGATTGGTCTTGTTATACACCTTGTGCAGCCCAATGGTGACCAAATGGGTTTGAAAGAAGAGTGAGCTCGAGTCACAGGGCCACGGGGTCTCCGGGGGTCTCAGCACAATCCACCACCATGGCCCATCCCCTCAAGGGCGCTACATGCCCCCCAGCCATCTGTTCCTTGGAACACTCTGTTATACAGGTCATTTCTACACAGAGAAATAGATCAAGGTCTAAGAAGGCAGTGCTGGGGTCAAAGCAAAAGGAGAGAGGAAGAGACTTTTTTTTTTTTAATTTATAGACTTCTATATCATTTATAAAGAGTTATGTTAACATTTAAACTTTTTAAATGTTTAAGAAATGCTCAAAGAATCTGTAAAAGGAGGATATAAATAATCCGCCAACTAATTCACTTCCTGAATAATATCGGAATCAGCTGCTTAAACCCCGGCTTCTCTTCGGCCAGTCCCATAAGACTCGTTTCCATAAACTTCGGAGACAGACTTCCCAGCCGTTATCTACTTCTTTTTTTGCACCTGCCACTCAATTTATCAAACCGTGTTCATTTCTGTAGTGAAACTTCAGACTCGTTCTGGAGTAAGGACTTGCATTATTGAATTTGTTTCTTTCTTCTCCCTGCTCCTTTTTTTTTCTTTTTAAAGACTGACTTTTGAACAGGACCTAGAACGTGGCAATACAGATGGCCTGGGAGACTGTCACAGTAAGTACAGCTTTTTATCCATGCTCGTCTTTGTGCAAAGATCCTTTGGTCGGATGGCCCAGAAACATAACGCCGCATGTGCGGCTGGGTGTGGCTGGCACTGAGCCAGGCAGAAGTAACAGAAATCATCTTCTAAACGTCCGATAAAGAAAACTGTGTGTTGCAGAGCAGCGCCCCCAGTGCTGTTGCTATAAACGCTGTGGAACCAATTCACTCCAGAGGATATTAACTATCACCGAGCAGTAAGTTAGATCAGCATTTCCATTAAAAAACTGGTCTTGTTGTTTTAAAAAATGTGTTATCACACCGTAATTTTTAGCCAAATAATAAGAAGATTGATCGCTGTACTCTAGCTTTCTAATTGAATGGGAGGGTTTTGTTCTTCTCAAACATATCGCCTAATAAAAGTAATTTTTTTTAATTAGATTTATGTCTGTTACCATTCCCCGTGGGAAAAAACTTCAGGAAGAACCCACAAAGTACAAGATGACTCAAAATAACCTTTTTTATAGGACCTAGCCTATTATGCTTACCTCGGAGTTCATTTCAAAAGTTACTAAATGGTAACATTTTAGTTGGAACTTCATATAAAAGATGCTGGTCAAACGTCTGCCCAGGTGTCCTATGATCTGATTAACATGGGTATGCTCCTGAAAATGTTTACTAATGCCAAGTTAGAGAATAATGACACTCTCTTGGAAAATAGTTCGCAGGGTTTCAAATGTTATATATGATGATTCTAGGAAGCTTACATTCATTCAAAATGGCACCCCGAAAACAGCTCCTAGGGGAATGAAACTGTATTACTCTGATACCCGGGTCTGTAATGGAAATCATGGGTCAAACTCTCAATCTTTGGGCCAAGAGTACCGAAATCTCAGACTCTAAGGTTCCAAATTTCTACCTTACCCTTTTTTGGAGATCAAATATTACTCTTTAAATAAAGAGGACTACGGGCAGCCTCATCTCCGAATTCTTTGCTGTATTTTTTTGTTTGCAAATATTACGTATCGGCAAACGCTTCTTATTGGGTCTTCAAACACAAAATTTATGCGTGAAGAAATCCACCCAGGAGACTGTTATCACCAAAAGGCCTGCGTTACTTGTGTGTCTCAAACAGTCTGATGTTTGATCAGTGGATCTTAAATCATGTTAATCATGTCGGTGCCTTATGGCTCCGTTTTCAGGGAAACAAGTTCTGGTTTGTGTGTGCGTCTGTGTGAGCAAACTTAATTAGCTGACTTCAGTGAATAATTTTCTTCCTATTTTTATGATCTGGTGTTATGGGCATTTGTAGAAAATAGGGGTGTCAACTGGGACTGGATAACTGAACGGATGAAAGCTGTGACGTGGTTGTTACTGTCTCTATCACGTGTCCCCGCCACCTGTGTGTTTTTGGACAAAGGAACCGAAGGAAGCCTCTGTATCTAACGCAGGGGAGACCCTCAGGTCCCCAACCCGTGATCTACTCTTCAATCTCAGGGGGCAAGCCTCTGTTTTCATGGGCTACCTAACCTTGAACTCCAGTCCTGGTGAGGCACTCAGGGTACCCGGCTCAGGGCAGGAGGAACAACTGCCCCTCGCTGCCTTTCCTAGCGGCGTCTCGCTCTCTCTGCTCCGGCTACAGCACGACCTACTTCTGCTAGCCATACCTGTTCACATAAAGGCATTCAGAGGATTTAGATAATCGGTGCACAGTGACTCCTGAACAGGATTTTTAGGGGAAATGAGGAAATCCTGAAGAGTCAGTGTCAGAGGCTGAGGAGGAAGCTGAATGAACCAGTGACGCGACCTAGACACACCGCACACGCACCCACCTATGTGTGTGGTTGAGAGGACGATACGAGAGAGAGCGTAAAGACAAGAGTGTTTTGTAAGTGTGGTCCAGGTGTCACTTCTTTCACCTGCATACACGTCCCTCTGTATGGAGTAAGGCCTCAAGTCCCAGAATCACGTATAATCGCAGTTCCCTTCCTTCTACTAACTCTTGCTGTTTCTTTGAGCCTTGGCAACAAAGGGCAGTGACTTTGAGGAAACTCACTCGGGGAAGAGATAGAGGAGTGTGAAATCGGACCCGATATAAAGTGTCTTGTATTACACGCAGAAATTAAAAAGCACTTACTTAGTACTGGGGATCACATGTTAGCATAATTCTGTGTTAGCTCATTCCTACTTATTATGTAAGTCACACTAAGCAGAGGGTTAAACATTAAGTAACCTTCTCCTCCCTTTTGTCTTCCAGATTCCTTCGTGGCCCTGAATGGTAAGGAAGATATTACTCATAATTTAATATCGATGGAAATCTATGTGGGAAATCCTGTTTCACTAATCCTCTTGAGTATTTTCAAACCTTAAGTTTCTTTTTAATTAATTTTTTATCCTCATTATTTTTTTATAGACATTTCAACTCCTCTTCCAGATTATGAAATGTCTTACAACACAGTATATGGTCAGTTTATGGACTTTTTTTTTTTTTTTAATTCTAAGCCACTCATCCTGTGGTAGTTTATAGTTTTCATCCCTAAACATCATGGACCAGATTCTTTGTTACTTCAGGGCCCCAATTCACTAAAATTATTTATCAATTTCACAATCCTTCAAAAATCACTGCCTATGAGAGACAATTGACATAGGAGACTGGTTCCTACATTTTTAATCCACAGAACATGAAACTCGCCAACCTTAGGGAATTTGGTGGATACATTTAATGAGTTCTTGAGGGAGAAGAAATTGCTTTTGGGCTATGAGTATATCCAAGATAAAAGAACAGTGCTTATAAGTAATAGGCCATAGCTCTTAACTGATAGAGTGCCATTCCCCAAAATGCTGACTTTCAGGGCAATACCCTCTGCGGGGAGGGGGGGAGGGAATCTACACAGCATGCAGAGACCAGTTCTTAGGAGGCAAACAAACCTTTCCGATATCACATGAAAATTAGCCATTTGAAACTTAAGTTCACAAAGAGTATGAATATGTAGACATATTTTCAGTGAGAGTTCTTCAGAATGTATACAAGGAAGAGTGACGCAGTGGAAATGATGTGCAAACAGGATCTATCCCATTGTTCCTGCTCTGAAATACACAGACAATACATTAAACAAAGCCATGAAGTCCATAAACAGAATATTCTGAGCCCTTTATAAGAAAAATTGAAATGCAATTGAAGTGTTCCATTGCTATTTCTCAGAGTTCCCCCAAATGTTTATAGGGTAAACTATTCAAGTGTTTTTTAAATATGAAAAACACGTGTGATGAAGATTTAAGCTTTGCATTATAATGGGGACTAAGAGTTTCACTGATGTGCATTTTATAGCTTTTGTGTTAAAAATACATTAACAGTAACAATTCCAGGACAGTCTTTAAATGTAGAGGCAGGGAATAAAGGAAGGGGAAAAAAGGAAAGAAAAGAAAGCAAGGCAGGTTTAGGATTGAAGAAATAGTTTAAGACGGCTACACATGTATTTAACAGCTCTATGTAATGAACTCTTACTCCCTGTGTCTAATTAGCATAAATAAAAAGCCTCTTTGGAAGTCCTAAAGGCTGTGCAGTCCTAAGTGAGCTGTGCAGATATGGGGAACAATGCTGGGTTTCTCCTGTTTTCCTTGTGAAGGGAGGCCACGTAAAGCAGATGAGCCCACAGAATTCATCCACCTTTAGTCTCATCTGTTACTCAAACCAGAATACTGAACACCAACAATGAAGAAAAATTTCTCAGGAGGCAGAGGTCATCTAGCTTAGCTCACCCTTCAGAAAGAGAACCCACTTAGCATCTGCTCTCCTCCCATATCATGCTTTGCAATCATTTCCCATAATTGAATAATCTTTATCAGATACTGAGGAATTCAGGTCTTAAATCTAATTGAACCGGCTACCTCCCCAGCACTCATCAATTGGACGAAGACCAATTTTAACTCCCAGGTAATTTCTCATATGGAAAGAATAAAGGATGGGATGCTTTTTAGGAAGAAAAAGTCACCCTCCAATCTATGGATCTCTCCTATTTCCTTTACAAAGGGAAAGGAACTTAATAATTCCTCCATGTTAACATTTTAAGGCATGATGCCTGTTCGCCCTCAGCTCTTGATCAGTGGCTTCTGTGATGAAATTAAAGAAGAGGTAGAATTTTCCTTTCACCTAATGATCCTATCCATTTTAGGCTAAATCTGTCCAGCGTCAAGTTGTTAGATGATTGACCACCAAAATAAGAACTGGTCCAGACAATACTTACGAAAACACAGGAGACTTTCTTTTCACGAACTATTCCAAGAGATGCTTATTTTGGAGTTAAAAAACCTAGAACAGATTTCATTAATTCACTCAGCAAATACGTGTTGAGTGCCTACTACAGTGTCGAATTTCTACCATCAAAGGAAAGAAGACCAAATTGCTATTTGTATGAACACGGATATAGACTAGGAAGCCAACCACAAAGTCCAAAATGCACCCACTGTCCCTAGCTGTGTCCTTTGCATGCCCCCCCCTAAAATGTTCAGTGGCTGAGTGCAGAGAGAGAGCCGTAAAACTCGAACTGCCTAACTCAGAAAAAGGAATCTTTACGATAAATCATGCAGTCTCTCTGCTTGGCAAAAGTTCTGCGCAACAGCAGTTCACATATGCAAGAACCCCTTTTAGTGAATTGGACCCTGTTTGCCTTCTCTCTCCCTCTCTTGTACTGATTAAGTGTCTCTTGTTTTGTGTCTAATTGGCTACAACCATTGCTAATAGGTAACAGTGGTTTGAAGTGTCTCTAATCTCTGGAATCACAAAGACTTGTAGATACAGAGAAACAATGTGATGCATATTAAATTTAACTTCTAAAATCTATTTCTTTGCATATTATAAGAAGAATACTTCAGGGGCGCCTGACTGGCTCGGTCAGCAGAGTGTGCGACTCCTGATCTCAGGGTCGTGAGTTCGAGCCCCACATTAGATGGAGAGATTGATTACTTAAAAAAAAAAAAAAAAAGAACACATCATAAGCTCCACTGATTAAAATATGACCTTTCATGATGGGTTAACAAGACAAAATCATGGGCTCCAAACCTACTGACCTGTAATACCATGCCTACAGATCAGTGCCTATCTGTGTAGCATCATTTTGGTCACAGGGTCTCCTAGGGAAGACACAGATGGTACAGCCTGTAGAATCAGATGTTAAGAAAGAACATAAGCGACTCCCTCTTAACATCTTAAGCTTGGAGAAGTAGTAGTAACAACATGCCTCTCTGATTTCGAACTAAAGACTGCTGGTTAATCGTGCTCTTACGAGGCGGTTGTAAAATTTTTGAGAATCAGGTATTGCTTTCTCCGATTGTCTGATTTCACCAGTGACACATGTTGCCTATCCTCAAGCATAAGTTTAAAAGAATACAAACCTCAGGCTGCTCAGTTTTTTCCTTTAATTCTCAGTACATCAGATGCATGGTTTCTCTAGATTTACATACAGAAAATGGGGATGTGGTGGGTATTAGACTAACACTTGAGCAATAGGAAGGAGCTGATTTCTCACATTTGTGTAAAGCATTTTCCTACCTAACTACCATCTGGTCTACATTAATTTCCTCTCATAGCCATAGCTTTCCATTACAAATGAGTTTTCCATGTATTTGCAGCATATGGTCCAGGAAATCTTTCGATGGAGAATGTGTCCCTTAGGCATATATTTCCCCTAGATTACCGTATTAAGAAATGTTCTCCCTAAACCATACTTACAGCATTACCATAAAACTGCCCCTTGAACACAGTTAAATTGAAAGTACTCAAAATGCGTATCAATTCAGGTAAAAAATTCTTGCTACTTGGAGAAAAGGGTTTCGTTCCCCGCCACCACCACCACACCCCCACCCCCCCCCCACCCCCGCCCCTTCTAACTCCCTACGAAGCAATTCCTAGTGGTTTGCCTAGGCTGGGTGCTGCATTCTCTCTTAGGCTGACCATATATCGCGTAAGAGCGGTGCAGAATTCAGGAGTAGGAAACAGAGGCTCTCTTTCAGACCGCAATATAAGCAAAAAAGAAGGAAGAGAAATTCTGCATTTCCAAGTCCGGCTTGATTTCGCTACTCCTGTTCTCTTACCAGTATTAAGAGATGAGCTATGAAACCCAGGAATGTAAAAACAGACAGTCTAGATGCAAGCATTCTTGAGTTGTAAATGAACATGTACCTAACAGCTGGATAGAAACCAGACTATGTGCACCAAAGCCAATGTTTGAAGCTGCGTGGAGGAGAACAAACTACACAGAAGGTTTCTTAAATGTCACCCAAGTGCTGTGGGGGCATTTAAGAGTGGTGCTTCCACAGAAATCATTAGAATGTAGGTGACCCACCTGGCTTCTCTGCTTTTTCCTGAGGTCTTCTTTACACAGGTTGTCTGTTATGTGCAGCACTGGAGTCTCCTGGGAACCCAACTTATTATAATAACTAATAAAGAAGAACGCAATTCATTGATCATTGTGATCTTTCTTTCTGGTCACCAGTATTTTATTTATCACATACGTGGTGATCACAGCCCAAGGCTGGAGCCACTTGTGAATCTGCCCTCCTTTCTACCAGAGGCACTGTTTCCACATTCACAGAAGTTGCCTTGATGTTTTTTCAAACATTGTTCAAGAGGCTGCTAGAGCTAAGACGGTTTAATGAGCCAAAGACTCTAATGGAAAATCACAGGTTAAATTTTATTTCTACCGGAGAGAAGAGGCAGTGAGGCTTCCTTTAAACCACTGTGACAGTTGACATCAAAGCACCTGGTGCAACCTGTATTTAACCTTGCGGGATGCTGGCAGGAAAGCTTAGGAATGTGTTCATAGGAAGAATCCAGAGTTTCTGCCATAACTCCCAACCTGGCCATTCTTTTCCTGATGCCATCCTCTGGTAGGCTCCTCTGGATCTCAAAAAGCTATCCCTTTCTAATCTGAATCATGGCCTCAAGAACAACCTCTCCCAAGCATGAGTCATAAACCATGGGACTGACTTTGCCAGAACAAGACGCGGAAGGCACAGTCATGGCAACACGGGGCGGTTGAGGCTGCCATTCCAGGGAAGCGGTGGTGGGAGCAGCTCCCTTGAGGATGCCATCACTTCTCTTAGAAATGGGGAACCTGTGAAGTTGAGCTGAAGCTGAAAACTAGACACACCTTGAGAAAGGCTCGGTGGGAAGGGCGTGGGGCCGCAGAGTTGTTTCTAAGAGGCAAGAGGTGAGAGGCTCCTCCACTACCGTCCACCTGCCCCATCAGTCACAAATGGAGTCCCCCAGAGTGGACACATCCTGCCTTTAGTGGTGCCGTGGGAATACCAGAGAAGGACCCCGGTATTTCTTGAGCATGTGCTATATCAGACACTGCTGGGTACTTCAGCCATGATGTCACTTTATCCTCCCCACACAGGGAGGTAAGTGACATCATCCCCGTCTTGTGCACAAGGAAAATCAAGGCCCAGAGAGATTAAGTGACTCTCCCAGGCTCACCCAGCAAGCAGCAGAGATAGGATCAGGCCCTTCATCCTCTAAGTGCAAGGGCAGGGAGTCTTCTGCGGAACCCCAGCCCCCAAGCCTGTTATTTCTAGGGCAGTCTCCTTTCAGTCCTACAGCCAGGTTGGGGGTCCCCCTCCTGGCCTCTGAGCAAAGGGAATGTGGGGGTCTCCTGCGATGTTTTGCCTAACTGTATTTGTGATGCAAACAGGGCACTCCAGTTCCCTCTTGCCCAGCACCACCACGTCAGATGCGGCGGCTCAAGAGGGGTATGAGTCTAGGGCAGGAATGCTGGACTGGAAGGATCTGCTCGATTCACCTGACAGGACAGACTCTTTGGGGGCGGTGTCTTCCCGTAATCACCAAGACAAGAAGGGTAAGGCCTTGGAAATGCCTCTTCCTCTGGGGGGAGAGGGAGGGAAGAGTGAGGAGGACCATGTAACTGCTTCCAGCTGCATCGTAGCAGCGTTCGAGGAACCTCCAACACACTGATTGAGAGCGTCTCAGAAAAGACTGCAATCCAGTCCTCTGTGCTCGGCTTGATCCTCAATTATTCCCGGATCAAGGAGAAAACACACAAAACAAATAACACATCCTCTCAGCTCCCTCCGTCCAAAAGAGGTGCGGCTTGGCCCAAAGCAGATCCCTCTCCACTCCTCTGAGCTCATTCTGTGATTCTGGGTCCTCCTTTCCCATTCCACAAGGGGATGGAATGCAGGGCCGGCCTTGGCACGTGCACGTAATCCAGGCAAAGACCCGCTCAATGTGTGAACGGAAAGAGAGAGCGCAGGGCAGAGTCTTTACTGGCCCGTAGCATCCCTCCCTCACGCATGGTGCTGAATGTGAACAGAGCTGTCATCCTGCAATGTACCGTAACTGCCCTTTGAGGACAACAGCTAAGACAAAAATATGTTATTTAATCAAGCAGAATTGCTATGCATTTAAAACAGAAAGGAAGCTGCGCTCCATGAAAGGGACTCTACTGTGAACTGTCCTAAATTCTCCCCTGCTTTCTTTGCTCAACTAGAGACAGGAAATGTCCTCTCTTTTCTCACCAGTGGCTGCTTCTGGTAACACATCCTACTTTAGTTGCAGCTGCTTGTCCAAAAGACAGTCTTGTAAATCAGAGACTGAAAAGCCCAGTTAGCCACTGTGACCCTCGGAGGCCAGTCTCTGTTGTGTCCCCACCGTGGGGTTTTCTATGTACGTATTTCCATGTTTACTTTGAGAGACTGTTGGCCAGGCAGCCCCACACGCTAGACCCTCACCCTCTCTTTTGCGACTCACCTCCGCTGCTGTGTGGGCCAAGCCGCAGTGCGAGGGTGTAGCCCTTGTAACTTGTTCCGGAGCGTGTCCCCTCAAAAATCAATTTTCTTATTCCTCTAGAACTTCTGATTCATATTCCCTGCCCCAGACCTTAAAAAGAGTGGCTTCTGCCTCGGCAGCCTCCTAAAGCTGGCAGCATCCCTGCTCTTACCGTTCCACGAGCGCGCCAGGCTCATGGGTGACGGGACAGAACTATCACGGTGGGCCACAAGCCCTACCCTGTGCCATTATTTGTTATGTGTGGCTCCAGACCGCAGATGTGTTGGTCTTGGCCGAGTTCTCCCGAAGAGACGGCTCCGTGAAATCAGTTGGTGTTTGGCCACCGTGACTTTCTGAAAAACCAAACAGCCGTTCCGGTAAAGCATTAAGTATGTCAACCAGATCGCTAGCTGTTGGTTACAATCATTTTCTCTTCACTTCACTGAGACGGGTGGCATGAATGCTCCAGTTGTTAACTCCCCCAAGGGATGGAGGTTATCGAAGAGCCCAATTAACACTTTGACAGATCATTTTAAAATTCGGCACTGTTCGTTCTCTTGGGTCTTATTATGAATATTGACAAAGCTGGAAGCAGTCTACAAACTGTCAAGCAATGGTGGCAGAAGTGACCGCATGGGTGTTGAACATGATCACTGTTCCTGTTAACTCCTTGCCTTGCCCCGTCAAATTCGAGTTGGGTTTTTGACAATTGAGTATGTATTTGATGGGGCAATGACAATGGGTTGTTATGCAGAAAAATTTTTCGAAAACAAAACGTAGCTTAATGTCCCTTTTGCCATGATTTTTATGATTTTGATTTCCATTTTGCTCTGAATTGTTTTTCTGTTTAATGTTCATGATTTATTTTCACCTTCTGTTCTGTTTCGCTAAGCACGGTGTGGTATGACTTGGTGATGGCGTGATTCCGTTGGAAAAGTCTTGTTTCTTTGCTGACTCATGATGACGTCCCGCAGCTTAGCCCAGTCTGTGATCGCCTCGCTTCTTTTCATTTCCTGATGTGGGTGCTTAATGATGTCACATCCGCGTGCACAGCATCTCCTGGGATGCGAGAGTTTCATGGGTTCTGCGAGGGCCTCTGGCGGGTGCTCTTTTCACTGGGTCGATTGTCTCATGGGAATGTGACATTTGTGTGCCCCAGCTTTAGGAGCTAAATATACTCTGGAATTGTTCCTAAAATATCACACATTTCCCCACTAAACAGAAAATGTGTCCCGCTCACCAGCTTGCTGAGGAGGAGTCAAGTGCCCCATGCCTTTTTTTTTTTTTTTTTTTTTTTTTTAATTTGGCTGCTAAGTAAGAGGCCAGTGAGCCGAGGAGCCCACAGCTCTGCCCTGCAGATTTGCTGACCGCCACTGGGCCGGCCCCACTCTCTGTCCCACGACATCCTCCAGACAATCCTGCATTTCCAGAGTATGTTTGCTTGCCTTTTTCTTTCTTTTCCTTGCTGTTGTCTTTCGTCTCAATTTAATCCTGTACGTTCTTCACATTCTGTCAAAGCACCAATCCTCACCTTGCAATCTAACCCCCTTCTGCTACCATTGTTCTCAGCCTCCCCCTTTCCAAATAATAGACCCAAGCCCTCTGCCCTTCTGTGGAATGTTCCAAGGCTCTTTCCTTCTACACTGTGAGGAGCATTCTGATGCTGTATGTACATAGACGGTCATACTAACAAAGCGTGAGAAGAGGCCCATAAGGCTCACAGAAGCATTATCACCGAAAATGAAGTAATTTTCTCTCTCAGTAACTGGCCTTGCCCTTCATTACCCTACTGGCCTTGTCTAATGTCTCTTGTCCTTGCTGCTTTTCTTTAAAATTGCCTGATATCTTTCAAGCCCTAGATTCATTAGTAAAAACACAGCCAACTGCTCTGTTTTATCTCTGGGTCCCTAGATGTCTGGAGCCTCTAGCCAGCCCTTTAATCACCAAGTTGATAAACTGGATGCAGCCCTGGCTACTTCTTTCTTGGTTTTGCCACATTTAAAAATATATATTATTTATTCATCCTATAACTATTGAGGTGGTAATGAGTAGTTACAAAGGGGCTCTAATTACATATGAATAAGAAAGAAAATCCACTTTATTTTTAGATCTGGCTTGTCTCCCCCCACCTCTCTTCCCACAGCAAAAGAAATAAGAGCTTTCTTTTTTAGGTTAAGCAATACTGAAAATTAATAGCCACTCCTGTGCCTCTTGTTTCTGACCAAAAGTAATAATACCATAAAACCTGATTTCCAAGAAGACTGCAAGATATGTGAGGAAATTAGCCAAGAGAGCTGTACAGCATAAATATAAAATGAAAATGCTGACCTCTGCTCTTAGGACACAATAAATCAGAAGAAAATCCCCTACTTGAGACTTTATAGAGTTCTTGTGAGCGGTCAGAAAACAGATAAAATGGTCAATATATACAAAGATGTTCTCATTTGATTGGAAATGCCAGCGCTGTAGTATGCTTATATATTTTGGGAAATCTTTAAAGTGAGATACTATCAATTATATTTAGCCAAGAGGATATATACGCATTGCAGACAAGAAAAAGATACAGAAACAGAATTTAAATTAGGTATCAAATGAATAATTTAAACTAAAACATACAGTAAATGTTGAATATATTTTAATCAATGTACAAGCTATTTGTGTAAGCACTTTTTACTTTGGGAAATAATATTGCAGTAAGATTCATAAGGTCTGTCAAGTATGGTGATGAGTATGTTGTCCATACTTCATGAACAATCCTGAAGAGAATTTTCTAGATCACAGAGTGTATCAACGATTCCTCCAACGCAGTGTAGCCTACAGCAGTAGGGCCTCCCAGTAGGACAGGCGGCTCCTTACAGGACGGGATTTAGGTGGTTCGGGACATCACGGCCTTCAAGAATACTGAATCCTGTGCTGGAAGCCATGCCCTTTTCATCTCTCTTTCAGTCTTCTTGGTCATGTCAAGGGAAAAGTCTCAGTTTGGTGCTTTACCGTTAACGACTCCCCTGACTTGCTACTCCCCCACTCTGACGAGAATAAACAGGCTTTAGACTGGGGGCTTTGCCGTGCAGCTAGAGCTAGCTGGGATTAAAGCGGTTTTGCTTTCAGTTACTTTTTTATGGTGACCTTCTATCTACGAATAGTGACACTTTCCCCCCCACTTATGATGACAAAGTTTCTACTTGAAATACATTTTAAAGGTAATTTAAATAAAATATGAAGTAAATGCAAATGCTGGAAGTACAGGGGATAAAATTACTATGTAATATGGTAGGTAAGACTCACTGGTATCACTAAAACTGTAGTATTGGAAGTTGAATGACTAAAGTTTGGGTAACTCTGGCCTCGAGCAAATTACAGGAGTCCAGTGAGGATTCAACTACTACCCAAACCTGGCTTCTGGCATTTGGAAGAACACGACTTAATAACCGCCATGCTTCTGTGGGCCAGGCTCTGCGTGTTGCAATGATATGATCTAGGGCTCTTGTGACATCTCTTCCAACTCCTGACCTTTGTGACTAGGGATGAGAACTTTGGTCAAGTAGGAGTTGAGAATAAAATGGACTTAGGTTAAAAGGAAATTACTCATTCTAGTCTTGTTAAGCATCTGGTGAGATTCTTCTCCCGACCAGCAGTGAGCACCCAAGGATACCGGCAGCTAGTGATTCCCCAAGCTGTGGCCGAGGGAAAGCTGACCTTTGGTATTTCTGGGGCCTGTCTCCTTTTCAGTTATCGGTATGGACTCGTGATACAGTGTGTTCCCCTAACCTGGCAGTAACCTACGCCTGACCCCTTTTTCCCTTTGCACTCATTCAAACTCTACCTATTCTGAGCCTCAAATGCTCATAGCCAGGCTTTCCTCATTAACAAGCTGAGAAATCCAATTTTAGGTGAGCAGTATAGATCAGGGAGCCAGGCCGCGATGGCGCCAGCATTTTAACAACCTCTGATGCTTAAAATCTAATGGATTGGGGATTTTAAAGTGCCCTGATTCTCTCAACGGGGAAAGTCACTTCTTGGCTCCTATCAAGTCTCATGTAGGTGATCCTACATACAAAGAAAATTACTAGC